CCTACACATACTGTATAGACAAGGATCTTGAAAAAACACAAATAAATAAAAAATTGTTACAAATACCATGAAAAAAAATTGAGAAAAACGGAATAGCAATCTATTAGTCAAATAACCATTACTTGTCGCGTGTCCTCTATTGTGCGCTCGGGCCAATACACATCCACAACTATATCAGGAGGTATGCATATCCCTTATACTCCAACTAGCATCTCAAGAAGTATGAATGATATATTAGAAATTTGGGCCTTCTTTTCTATATCCAATTATAAGAACCGAGTGATAATAGCCGCTTTGAGGCGACTCTAATTCCTTGTTATACAAATGCATCTTTTGATACTCTTCCTCAATTGGTTCATATATCTCTTTCACATCCTCCTGTTTTTCGATAAATAAATGGAAGATATACGGTGACCTGACCAGGCTCTTTCTCAGAGCTTTAATAACTTCCTACTGTTTTTTCTCCTAAGTTTTCCAAATATTTGAATTTCTGGATCCTTGTTGTTTTGGGTGCTTACGAGATTTCCCCTGATTTTCTCTGTCTCTCTCTTCTTGCTCGGTTGCGGTGGTAGTGGTAGGCCGTATTTATATACGGAGGATTGAATACGGGTTGTTGTTCATCCTTCCACACTGTAAATTTCAATGATCCGAGATATGACTCTTCACCACGGATATGCAAATTCGCGGTGAAGAGTCATATCTCGAATCGTTGAAGTTTACAGTGTGGAAGGATGAACAACAACCCGTATCATTATATGCGACGTTTCAATCCGTATATAAATACGGCATGCTACTAACACAACTGAGCAAGAAGAGACAGACGAGAAAATCAGGGGAAAACTCTTCAGCACCCAAAACAATTAGGATTGAGAAATTCAAGTATTAGGAAAACTTGTAGAAAAAACAGTAGGTCACCGTATAGCTTCCTGTCACCGTATAGCTTCCATTTATTTACTGAAGAACAAGAGGATGTGAAAGAGATATATGAACCGACTAAAGAAGAGTATCAAAAGATGCATTTGTACAATACAGAACTAGAGTCGTCTTAAAGTGACTATTATCGCTCGGTTCTAATAATTGGATATAGAAAAGAGGGCCCAAATTTCTATTATATCATTCAGAATTCTTGGGATGCTAGTTGGGGTGTAAGGGATATACAAAAATGCCCATCCATGGTTGTAGATGTATATTGGCCCGAGCGCACACATACGGGAGACGCGACAGGTAATGGTTGTTTGACTACTAGATTGGTATTCCGTTTTCCCCAATTTTTTTTCATGGTATTTGTAACAATTTGTTTGTATTTGTGTGTGTCTTTTTTAAAGATCATTGTCTGTGCAGTATCTAAAAGGTGACTGATTTGTAAGTGGGTTGAGTGTGGTGATTGTAAGAATTGAGTTCATTGAAATTTTGTAAAGATTTCTGAAGAGAAGGAGTTGTACACGTGTCCATATGTTCAAGTTGAAGTCTAAGTAATCGATTTTCTCAACTTTGTGTTGGCGCCTTTTATTCTTTAGTAGTAACTAAGTAATTCATGTATCTTGACAAAGCCCCATTATTTTCACACTATTTTCTCTTAAGCATATCTCACACGATTTCTTGGATTCAAAATTTGACAAATTCATGTCCAAGAAGCTGAAGCTAGTATATCTCACGCGATTTTTATTTTCTCATTCAGAATTCATGGAATTCTGATTGGGGTTACAAGGGGTATGCAAAAATATCGTCTGATATCATCATTAACGTGTATTGGTCAAAGGACTTATTTGAGACCATTTAGTGGTATAGTTATTTGATTTTTAGTTGATATCTTATCCTTCCATTTTTATTAATTCCTTTTCATGTTATTCACACCAATTTGTTTGTATTTGCATGTTTTTCTTTTTGTTAAGATCTTTTGTTTTGCAGAATCTGTAAGAAAAATGATTTGTGGAAAATGAAACCAACACCGAAGTGGATTAAGTGTGAGTTTTGCAAGGATTAGCTGTATTGCGATTGTGTAAACATTTTTGAAGAGGAGGCGGAGAGATTCCTGGTTACAAGTGTTCTTCATGCGTCAAAAGTGAAGCGTAAGGTATTCCGACTTTCTCAACTTGCGCCTTTTATTCTTCTATTGTTGTGTGTTGTAAAGAAGTAATCAATTTTTTGTAGTAGACTCGAAATTTGGCAGGATCATGTCCAAGAAGTTGAAGCTAGTGTTGTAGATGACTTTAGAGGTAGTCTAGGGACTTCTCTTACATTTGAAGTCTCTAAATATCATTTTAGAGATTTCTACTATCTATATATCGGAATTACTACTATTCGACTCATTATTTTTTTGAAATTTTATCATTTTGAATAACTAAACGTTCTTGTCCTTTTGTTAATTTTCACTAAAAACGTTTAGTATATCATATTAACATTCCATCATATTAACAAAAAGGACAAGAACGTTTAGTATATCAAAATGATAAAATTTCAAAAAAAAAAAAAATAATGAGTCAAATAGGCAGTAATCCCGATATATGTAGTAGAAATCTCTAAAAATGATATTTAAAGTTTTCAAGAAGTCCATAGACTACCTCTAAAGTCATCTGCAGCACTTCCTTCAGCTCTTCTTGGACATGAACCTGTCAAATTTCGAGTCCACTACAAGAAATTGATTACTTCTTTACTACACACAACAATAGAAGAATAAAAGAGAGAAAGTCGGATTACCTTAGGCTTTACTTTTGATGTATGAAGGACACTTGTAAACGGGAATCTCCTTCGCCTTCCCTTCAGAAATGTTTACACAATCGCAATGCAACCAATCCTTGCAACACTCACGCTCAATCCACTTCGGTGCCGGTTTCATTTCCCACAAATTGGTTATCTTATAGATTTTGCAATACAAAAGATCTTAACAAAAAAAAAAAAAACACACACAAATACAAACAAATTGGTGTAAATACCATGAAAAATAATTGGGAAGAATGGAAGAGTAAGATGCTAACTAGAAAGCAAATAACTATACCACTAGGTGGTCTCAATGAGCTCCCTTTGGTCAATACACGTTTATGATGATATCATGCGATATTTTTGCATACCCCTTATAACCCCAATCAGAATTCATGTATGTGAGGAGCAACATGTTGATATAGATTGTTGTGTT